GAAGTGGCCCTTTCCGCTGGAAGTCGACCTCCCTGCCGCCTCCTAGAGGCCCACCTTGGTTTCTTTCCCTCCCTCCCCCCTGCATCTTCAATTTCTCCCCACCTTGCTCCACATCCAGGTCTCAGTTATAACCCCTCCAAACCCAAACAAAACCCATTTTCTGGCCCCTAAATGTCAAGGTTCCCAAAGCTCTCTCTTCAGCCTCCTCCTTTTTTTCTCTACACTTTCTTGGCAACTCATCTTGTGGCTTCAAGTAAGTAAATCTGCCTTCCTAGCATTGGCATCGTGAAGGAGTGCCACTTCGGCATTCGCAAGTGCTTGGGAACTTCTCCATTTGTGTTCTACTGGCGTTACAGAGTCAACAAATATTATTGAGCACATATTATACACTAAGCACTGTGCTGGGTGCTGGGAAACAAGAGTAAACAAAATTAAAACCACTGCTTTGCAATCAGCAAGCCCTGAGCTTCCTTCCCAGACTTGCCATCTTGCACTGTTTTTTCCATTTATGATACTTACTGTTCCCCTAGGCTCAAAACCGTGGAATCGCCTTTGACTCTGCAGCCCCCTTGCATCTCACACCTACTTCGGTCCAGGCCTGAGCAAGTCTTTCTCTTTAGTAGCTGATGTGTACCACCTCTCTTTCCTCCCCATTCAGAAGACCCCACTTCAAGCTCTTATCCCCCTTTGCCTGGATTAGTATAAGAAGCAAATGGAGAATGTGCCCACCCTGTCCATGGAGAGAGGCTGAGGTGGCCAAGCTCTGGCCAGAGGCACCAGGGCGCCAGGGCAGCAAGGATGTCGGCTTTGTTAGTCTGGGCCACTGTCCATGCTGTGAGCCAGAGGAAGCTGCAGCCCACCCAGGCCACCCTCACCCTGATCCCTTCAGCAGTAAACAAGATAGAACAGCTTCTGAAAGATAAGCCTGAACACGTAGGTGTGAAAGTTGGTGTCCAAGCCAAGGGCTGTAATGGCCTTTGCTACCTGCTAGAATATACGAAGACAGGGAAACTCTGACGAGGAGGTTATTCAAGATGGTGTCAGCATGTTCACCGAGAAGAAAGCACAGTGAATACTTTTAGGAACAGAAATGGACTGTGTTGAAGACAAATGATCCAGTGAGCTTGTGTTCAATAACCCAAACATCAGGGCTTCCCTGGTGGTGCAGTGGTTAAGAATCCGCCTGCCAATGCAGGGGACACAGGTTCGAGCCCTGGTCCGGGTAGATCCCACATGCCATGGAGCAACAAAGCCCGTGCACCACAAATACTGAGCCTGTGCTCTAGAGCCCGCGAACCACAACTACTGAGCCCACACGCCACAACTACTGAAGCCCGCACGCCTAGAGCCAGTGCTCCGCAAAAAGAGAAGCCACCGCAATGAGAAGCCCGCACACCGCAACAAAGAGTAGCCCCCGCTCACCGCAACTAGAGAAGGCCCACGTGCAGCAAGGAAGACCCAGAGCAGCCAAAAATAAATAGATAAAAATAAATAAATTTATTAAAAAAAAAAACTTCAAAGGAACGTGTGTCTGTGGAGAAAGCATTAACGTTAGACTCCTCAGGACTACTCGGGCTGTAGGCCCCAGGAGAGTTGTGGAAGCTCTAGGGCTTATTGAAGAAATCATGTGACTGTCACGTGCTTAAGGTTTGTAATGTCTGGCTGCCTTACAAGGAAAGTAAAGTGGTGCGTTTAGAAAAAATAATAATAATAAGCCACTGGATCTCCTGCCTCCAGTTTGCTACCCTCTGACCTCTCCGGCACAGGCAATCGGGTCACTCATCCAAAACCACAGCTCCTGTAAAACCCGCAGTGTCTCCTGGGTTAAATCCAGCTTCCTTGCCTGGCTCTCACAGCGTGACCTGTCTTCCTTTGCAAACTTGCCTCCCGGCACTCCTACTAGGACCCCTTTTCTGTAGCCAGACTTCCCCACATTTGCACCTTTCCTAAAGCTTCTCACCCGCTGGGAAGCCCTTCTCCTTCACAAGCATCTCTGCACATTGGGACAAAGCCGCTTGCACAGCACTAGTCATTCACGTTCTTCACCAGAGTATTTCCAGCTCTCTGCCTTCTGGGCACAGGCTGGAATTTGAAGTTAGGTGTGGCCCTGTGGCTAACTGTGCGCAGGGAAATGGCAAATGGCCAACGATACACACCTCTTCCAGGTAGGAGCATGAGGACACAATGCACAGTCCCCATGCCTTCTCTCCCTGGCTAGGTGATCCTGGAAGCACATGCTGAGATAAGACAAGACCCCTATTAGCCTGCAGCCCTAGGTGGCTGCAGTGAGCAGAGACTTCTGCTGATGTGCATTTGATATGTAGCATCAATGAGAAGTAAGCTTTTGGGATGTTAAGCCACTGAGAGTCGAGGTTTGTTTGTTATTGCAGCAAGTCTAGCCTATCCAGATTGATACCCTACTTCCTCCACGAGGTTTTCCTTTCTTCTAAACCAGAATTAGGTCTGTTTATACCTCTACTGTGGAATTTATCACCTTTTCTTTGCATTTCTGTCGATGGCTTATGCACCTTTGAGTCCTCAGAGCCTAGCACACTGATTGGTATTATCCCTTGAATAAATAGAAAATAAGTCCCACCCCTCCATCATATGAAGCATTCCAAAGCTAAAGAGAAGATATCAGAAAATAATTTTCTGCGTATTGTGACAAAGTCACCTACGGAACTTTGTAGGTACTACCTTGGTACCACAGTCACCAATGACACAATACCCTTCAATTAGTGTAGATGATGGAAAGTAAGCTGGATCCAAAGTAACATAAAGGAGAGGCATTCATGGCACTAAAACCTGCTGCCCTGCTGCAAAAGGAGTGTCTCATATCATCTCCCAGGTTCCTGGAGTATCCTCTTTTATCTCATGGAGCTGTGAATGCCTTGCACGTAGAAGGCACTCAGTGCTGTCATTTGAATGCAAAGCACATGCCCTGCATTTACTGCGATTGCAGGCTAGGAGGAGGTGATGCAGGCCAAGACCCTCACCCTGACATTGTGTCACGTCAGCTTACTGAGTGCACACCATGCGTGTGACAGAGGAAGAAGTGTAACCACATGTCCTGACATTAAACCCATGACATGTGAGGTCAGCGCTTTTATTCCTAAATTGTAAGTGAAGAAACCCAAGAGCAGAAGCCCGAGCTTCTTTTTTTGTTTGTTTGTTTTTAATATTTATTTATTTTGGCTGTACCGGGTCTTAGTTGCGGGCATGGGAACTCTTAGTTGTGGCATGCGTGCGGGATCTAGTTCCCCGACCAGGGATCGAACCCGGGCCCCCTGCATTGAGAGCGCGGAGTCTTAGCCACTGGACCACCAGGGAAGTCCCCTGAGCTTCGTAATATGCTGACATGCTCATCAGCTTCATGACCTCATTCTTCCCTGCAACCACATTTAGAGAGCTCTTACGTGGACCAGGAAAATCAAAACGCCCTCGAGTGCAAGCTCTGATGGAGGAGAGTACCAGATTCTGGAAGAACTGAGGAAGGAGAGATTAACTATGCCTGTGAAAGCTCCACAGAAGTGGCATTTCAGCTGAATTTGGATTTCACCGAGAGAAGGAGAAAAGGGGTGTGTGGGGGGGTGTGAGACGTGGGAAAGATTCCAGGCAGATGCAGTATTGCTCTCAAGGCCAGGGACGTGGGTGGGCGTCATGCAGGGGGAAGGCAGAATTTCCTTGTGACCACTAAACAGCTGGTATGTAGAAAGTGCATGTTTACCTTCCACTGGGGAGTAGGTGTCAGGTATACAAATCTTGTTCTAGAAGATTAAGCTACATTCACGGATGACGGCTCCCTCACTGGTTCACCCTGCTCTCCGCCCATTCCAAACCTCTCCCACACCACTTGTCTGCGGACGGGTCCTCTCGGGAGTGGGATTTGCCTGCAGGCCTGGAGTGATCTGCTTCGCCTGGGTTTGCTCCGCTTCTCACCAACTTGAGCAGCAGCAGAGCTGCTGGGTCTGTCTTTCAGCCTGTGGTCAGTCCACTAAGTGGCTCTGGCCCCAAGGACATTGGGGCAGTCGGAGTGGCCTTCTGAGGGGCCCCCAGGGGACAGAGTCCTGGGGTCAAGAAGAGAAGGACTTACCCGGGGGATGGTAGCTTGGGAGTGGGAGTGTTTGTGGGGGAAGAGAAAGATGGTGATGGAGGCCCTGTGAGTTGGTCACTGCAGCAAACTACATGGGCCTCAGGCTGACATCGGAGTTTGAGTCTAGATTTACCCCCTAGGAGTGTGAGAACCTGGCTATATCCTTTAGGCTGTCTGCTCTTGGGTTTCTTCACTTACAATTTAGGGATAAAAGCGCTGACCTCACATGTCATGGGTTTAATGTCAGGACATGTGGTTACACTTCTTCCTCTGTCACACGCATGGTGTGCACTCAGTAAGCTGACGTGACACAATGTCAGGGTGAGGGTCTTGGCCTGCATCACCTCCTCCTAGCCTGCAATCGCAGTAAATGCAGGGCATGCGCTTTGCATTCAAATGACAGCACTGAGTGCCTTCACAGCGTTCACAGCTCCATGAGATAAAA